AATGAAGGCCTGGGGAAGGGTGAAAGCGAGGTGGAGGGGATCAATTGGGGGGAAAAATGGGACACCTGTAATACTTTCAACAATAAAGATAAATTAAAAAAAGAAAAAGAAAATTTAAAAAATTGCCAGGCATGCACAGAAGCAGGAACACCAGATCCAAAATGAGGAGAAAATCTATAGAAACAGTCTCAGAAATGACATAGATGATGAAATTAGTAGACAAAGACATTGAAACAACTATTATAAATATATCCCATGTGTTCAAGGGGTTAGAAGAAAGCATGAGTGTGGCAAGGAGAGAAGTGGATGATATCTGAAAAGACTCAAGTCAAACCTTGACAGCTGAAAAATGAACTGAATGGGGCTGGGATTAACAGATTAGACATGAGAAAAAGAAAAGGTTAGTGAATTTGAAGACCACACTAGAAACTATCCCAAAATGAAACACAATTAATAGTGAGCTATGGAACAACTTCCAGCAGCCTAACGTATGTGTAACTGGAATTCCAGAAAGTGAGGAGAGACAAGTGGAGACAAGAAATATTTAAAGAAAAAATTGCTGACATTTTTATTTATTCAACAAATCTGCTGTGTACCTGGAGCTGGGACTATGATGGTAAGAAGTACAAACACCCTCCCAGTAGCCCAAAGGTGGAGCAACTCAAATGCGCATCCGTGGCTGAATGGGTGAGCAAGATGCAGTGCGCCCATACAATGGCATCTTAGCCTCGCAAAGGAAGGATGTTCTGGTAAGGCTACCACGACGTGGATGGACCTTGAAGATATAGATAAGCCAGCCGCAAAAGGACAAATGCTGGGTGACTCTACCTGTTGGAGGTATCTAGAGCAGTCAGATTCACAGATACAGAAAATAGAATGGTAGTTACCGCCGGCTGGGAGGAGAGGGAGCCGGGAATGAGTGTTTAATGGGTTGAGAGCTTCAGTTGAGGAGGGTGAAAAGTTCTGGAAGACAGTGGTGTTGATTGCACAATGTGAATGTACCTAATGCCACTGCACCATACACTTTAAAATGGTTAAAATGTTAAATTTTGTGTTATGTATATTTTACCACAATGAAATGATTAAAATCATGCCAGAGCCTAAGAACTGAACGAGGGAATATTGTTCCCATGAGATCCTCCCTAGAAGGGGAGACAGAAGAGCAAACAAGTAAACACGGTTGCAATGGAGTTTAACAACCAGCACCACGGGCTGGGTACTGCTCTAAGTGCCCAGGACAAAGGCTTGTTTATATAATGAATGACTGCTGGGTGCTTGCTATGTTCAGGTCCTGTTGGAGGTGTCAAGGCGACGGCAAGGAACGGAGCAGACAGGAGTCCCCACCGTTGTGTGGCTTGCATTTTTATCAGGGGAGACAAACTATATTGTATGCCAGAGAGTGGTAAGTGCTTGAAAAAAAGGTTAAGCAAGGAAGGGCAGGTAACTGGGTGAGTTTGTTTTGTTGAGTTCTAGGATTAACAGTTTGATTATATGTTTATACCTGCAGTTTAGTTTGGTTGGATATAAAACGTTTAGCTTGCATTTTCTTTCTTTGGGTGTCTTAAATATGTTATGCTTTTGTCTTTCAGAATAAACTATCACTGTCAAAAATTTTGATGACAATCTTATGCTATTTCATTTAGAAGTGACTTGTTTGATTTTTATTAGATGCCCAAAGGATTTTTCTTATTGTCCAATAGGCATAGTAAAATAAGTCTTGAGATCAGCTGTTCTGGGTTTACTTTTCAGATATGTAGTGTGCCTTCTCAATATATAATTTTAATATGCAATCTTTTTATTTTAGGAAAGTTTTCTTAAATTGTACTTTTTGTACTTTGTTACATTGTATGGTTTGCTTTTCTTCTTTATGGACTCCTATTATATGTAGAATCTTCCTTGGTTTTATTTACATATATAAACTTCCCCTCAAATCCTCTACATTTTTGCTAGTGCTTGGTATAGTCAGCCTTTCAAATTTTAGCTGTTCTACTAGGTATGTAGTAGTATCTGGTTCTGGTTTTAATTTGCATTTTCTTAACGACTAATGATGCTGTGCATCTTTTTGGATGCTTGTCATCTGTATACCTTTTCTGAAGTATCTGATCAAATCTTTTGCCCATCTTTTTTTCTTTCTTTGAGTTTTGAGAGTTCTTTATATACTTCAGAGATAAGTCCTTTATCAGACGTATAATTCACAAACATTTTCTCCCAGTCTCTGGCGAGTCTTTTCATTATCTTGACAGTATCTTTTGAAGAAAAGTTTTTAATATTGGTGTTGCTTTATTAATTTGATTTTTATGGCTCACGCTTTTAGTATTGCATCTAAGAAATCCCTGCCTAATCTAAGGTCACAAAATTTTTTTCGTTGTTCTTTTTCTAGAATTCTTAGTCTTAGGTTTTACACTTACGTTTATGACACATTTTAAGTCAAATTTATGTAACACTTAAAGTATGGATTAAAGTTTATTTTTTTAATGTATGAATATCTGATTGTTCCATCACCATCTGTTGTAATGCTGCTCTTTCTCCACTAAACTGCCTTTACATTTTTGTTGAAAATTAGCACCAAGTATATCTTGGTTTAATTCTGCATTCTCCATTTTGTCCCATTGATATATTTGTCTATTTTGACACTAATACCATACTTTAATTACTGAGCTTATAATAACTCTTGAAATCAAGTAGGTTTAGCCTTCCAACTTTGTTCTTTTTCAGAGTTGTTTTGGCTATTTTAGCTAGGTTCCTTTAATTTCTATATGAATTTTAGAATCAGTTGGTCAATTTCTATTTAAAAAAATTTTCTGGAATTTTTATTGAATTGTGTTTAAACTATACAAAAATTTGACAAGAGTTGACATCTTAACAAGATAGAGTCTTTCCCCATTGCCTTGAGAAGTATAACTAATGGGAAGTTCCAGTTGAGAGAGAAAATATAGCCCTTGATTTGGGGAGAAATCGTTTATTTACTGAAAGAATTTTAGAAACTGGCTAACAAGTAGATGGCTTTAGTGGCCATACTTTTGTTTATTAATCAACAAGAAAGGTAAAGGGAATGTTTTGAAAAGACACCTTGGCACTGCTGCAGCAGCTGTTGAAGAATTAAACTGTGGGAATTTAAGTTCTTCAGGACTCCTGGAAATCAAGCTTGTTTTTGTGAAGAACTTGATCAGAAACAAAAGTTTCATTGGACATGATGTTGTCTGGGCACTTTTCAAGAGCACATGGACACAATTTACTCTCTAACAGGAGCCACGTTCTGGGTCAGATATAAAAGTTTCTCCAAAAGACTCTGTGGGTTATATGTAAAAGGAAACATTTAAACGTTGTATTATAATTGCAACAGACTATAAAGATATAGATTTAGTCATTGTTTATCCTTTGGTCATTCTTGGAAGATTTTAAAAAACTCAACATTTTAATGAAAATGTTCTGGAAATCTTGAGTGCAGCTTACCGTCCAACTCGTCTTTATATCCAAGAAGAAAATTATACATTTTAAATGAAAGTAAGTTCAGGCCAGTTTGGTATTTTAGAAGCAGCTGTCTATAGCTGATGCTGATGGCGGTGCCCTACGACATATCCTCCGGGCCCACCTTGGATTTCAGCCACCGCTGTGACAGAGTCCCACTCAATCTGACTCACCTTTTGGTGACAGCTACCCATCTCCAGTAAGTGCCCCACTTATCCACTTTGTGACAAAGTGTCCTTTCCAAGGCCATGGGAGGCCCTAGGCCTATGTGCAAGTATGTTGCATAAATGCAGAGGAGTAATGCCTTCAACCAGTGGGTCCAGGGTGGGTGGACAGGGGGTCCAGCCTCTAGTCTTTCTGGTGGACGATCCTGGGAAGCACTTGCTCATTTCTAAGGTAGTGCCGTGGTCCTGGAATCAAGTCCCAAGCTCCCAAATGGCAATCTTGATAGGACACTGTTGTATGGGTTTCCCCCCCTTACTCTCTCTGTTCTCTCTCTTCTGCTTCCTGGGATCACCTCGCAAATGACCTACATATACCGAAGCCCTTTTCTCAGGGTCTACTTTCAGGTGGCCTAAGCGAAAATGAGCACCATTAATCAAAGGTCTCTCTATATCTTTCCATGTAAGTATAGTTGGTTCTCCATACCTGCATATTCACCACTTGTGGATTCAACCAACAGTGGATGGAAAATATTTTTTTTAAATGTTACACTGTTGCTACGTGAACTATGTACTTAGGCATATGATGGTTTCCTTTGTACTGAACAGGTAGCAGGCTTTTTTTTTCTTGTCATTTTTCCCTAAACAACACAGCATAACAACTATTTACACAGCATTTATATTGCATTGGGTTTTATAACTAATCTAGAGATGATTTAAAGTATACGGAAGGATGTGTATGGGTTATTTGCAAATATTATGCCATTTTATATAAGGGACTTGAGCATCTATAGATATTGGTATCTGCGGGGGTCCCTGGAATCAATCCCTGCCAGATACCAAGGGTCAACTATATTTTAGAGATTTTCTAGACTGTGTGCAAATAATTATTCTTGAATTATTTGCAAGGTGAAGTGAGGACATTTTAAACCTGTGCAAAATAAAGATATTTTTCTGTTTAGGCAAAAAAGGAGCTAATGACAATGGTGCTTGCCCACTCTGAACTACACTGAAACTACCTTCAATTCCACTTCTATCTGATAATAAATATAAGAATATCTAACTTTGATAGTATATGATCTAATGGCCAGGTGGTGAAAGCTCTAGATGCTAATAAACACAATCAATAGGCTAGCTTTAGGTTGTCAGAGAGAACTTCATTCCAGTATTACTTGCCGCCAGAAATCCCTTTAACAACTCTTGTGGTACAAATGCACACACCCCTCACGCAACATAGTCACAAAGACTGGGCGATGACTTGCTTAGTCACATTCACATTTTGTGTCGAGTCTATTTTTGATCACTAACTTCACGCTGACTTTACATTAAATGCTCACTGCATCCCTGTACCAACTGAACTTTTTTAGGCTATTTTATTTTTCAGTTCAGGGCCCTTTATTTTGGCAACAAGACATACTGCCAGGTTATAAAGGCTTTATTATGACGGTGATTTTAACACAGAGGGAGCTTGGTGGTGAGTATCCGGCCGTCTGATGGCTTCCTGACAAAGCGTCTGAGCTCAGGCTCTCTTCCGATAGAATGTAAATGTATGCCTACACATCTATATGGAATTGTTATCAAAATTAAACTCAGTCACTAAAAGAAGATTCGCTCTCTGAACTTTCTTCTGTGTTTTTTTCACCTTCGCCGTCAGGCACTGGAGCATCTGGCCTCCTGAAAGAGAAGGAAAAAAATGTTTCAAGGTTTTTCCAGTTGAAAAGAGCACTTACTCACTGTAAATTAGGTTCATCCTAGAATATTGCTGCTAATAAATCTGCCAAGTCTGCGCCCTTAACAGAGAGACTCCCACTCTCCACCACAGCTCGCGCTCTGGCGTCTCCAGCACCACGGGGATTAAGTGCTTTCCTGCATGGGCCGGGCCGTGGCACTGTCTTCTCCTGCCAGTCCTTACAGAGTGTGCTGCTTCAGCACTTTACGCTCCTCGCTACCACGGAGACAGCTATAGCCGGCGATGCGAGCTGGGGAGGCTGGCACGACCAGCGCTGCAGCCGGGCAGCCTCCAAGTGCCCCGAAGAACAAAGAAAAGCCAGCAGTGGAATGGGAAGGAAAATCTTCATGCTCAGGAAGGCCGCAGGGAGGAATTTTTAAGATGGAAGAAAGTTCAAGAATGGCTATTGGGAAACACAGGCAATGTGGAAATTTTTCAGAGGCAAAGGTTCTTCATATTTGTTGAATGTTTTCACTTATATGTTTTATCTTCAGAGAATAAATATAAAAAGTATGAGCTGGTAAAAATAGTGTTTCAAAGATTCCCTAGGTACAACAAGGAGATACAAGAATGTTCAACTCCAACTGAGTGGCTGTGTGATGCTAAAGCAAAATAAAATTTTAACAGTGTCATTAAAAGCATCAACTAGACAGGCTCCACCGTGTCTGTCAGTGAATCATTCAGTCAACATGGCAGCATCATCACTCAGCCTCTATTCACGCTACCAAGAAAGTAACCTCGGTGAGTAAAGTATACTTTTGGGGAAACTAAGAGAAAAAGGAAGAATAATACAGCCGCTCTGTCTTAAAAATTAAAAACTACCAGACTTATTTCTCCCTCAAGCCCCTTCTTACTAAAGATTTAGAACACCAACAAACACAACTCTTCTATGCCAGACACGTAACTACTGTTACTAATGTAAGAAAATGTATAGTGTATTTACTTCCAGTTATTAGAAATCACGGCTGAGGTTTGGCTTGCATTTTTAATATCGTATCTGGCATCCTACAAAACAGAAGGAATGCTGGCACTGCTTCCTAGTCGTCACATATAAACCCGTTCACTCTGCTGTACAATTTTAGATGATGCCCAGGAGGGAGTCACAGGTACTCAGCAGTATAAAACTTTAAAGCTGACCACAGCATTTCTAGGTTTGACAGATGCTCCGTCCGCCTAACATAATAACACACGACCGCAGTCTTCATCACTGTCCACAAAAGCAAGACCTCTAGAAGTAGTGGGCACAAATGCCAGGCACATTTCCCCAGCAAATTTCTCTATATAGCCAATTTCTTATTGTCTTCGCTTTGTTAAAAAAGGAAAAAATTGCCAGAGGGGATTATTTGAATATTACCTCAAAATTATATTAGTATCTAAGGTAACTCAAACAAATAAAACAATGTGTGTAACTCCCCTAAAATAAATGCTACTTAAGAATAGGGTAAAAGCAGCTTAGGCCTAGAAGAGAGTGAAACTACAAAATTAATTAATTGATGTGTGTAACCACTTTTTGATATATATAACGCTGTATAGCACAGTGGTTAAGAACAAAGACTGGAGACAGACTGATTGGGTTCAAATCCCAGCCTTGCTACTTATCTGTTGGGCAACTTTGGGGAAGCTACTTAACCACTACGCACCCAACTAACTGGATTGTTGTGATGATAAAAACATATCACCAAATGTAAGTCTACTGAATATCAGCATACAGTTATTTTTATTACATAATTATTACTCTCATCATCATCATGCACCTACTTTGCCAGGGACTACAGATGCTGGACCTACAGAGATGGATAACAAACAGTTCCTGCCCTGAGGAGCTGTTATTTCAGGGGTAGACAGAAATGCAAACAATTATTGTTACACAGCGTGATCTATACGGATACAGCTGTACAAGCTACACATGTGAAAAAAAGAGTAATTCTCTCTACTAGGGTTGGCCAGGCAAGACTCCAGATGGATGAAGACACTTGTGAACGGGTTTGAGATGTAAGTAGGAGTTTGCCAGAAGCAAAAAGTACGGGAATAAGTGGGGATGAGAATCTGAGTAAAGGGGAAAACGGGAATGGCAGGGTGCTGCATTTGGAAGCTGTAAGTCATTTGGTAGCTGGAGTGTGAGGTATATTGCGGTGCAAAAGTAGATGAGATTAGGTCATCTGGCAGGAGTAACAGGCGAAGGATGGGGAAAAGTTATATAAAATATGTTTTCACTGAAATTGCATAACTAAGTCCGGGATTCTTACGCAGCATTTATTTCACATTCACATGTTATGTAATCATCACTACCATCTCCAGAACTCTTTTCATCTTGCAAAACTGAAACTCTATACCCATTAAATAGCTCTCCAACCCCCTTTCCTTCCAGCCTTTGGCAACACTATTCTACTTTGTCCTTGAATTTGACTCTTCTAAGTGAAATCATATAGTATTTGTCATTTTGTGACTGGCTTATTTCATTTATCATAATGAAGGCCTTCAAGGTTCATCCATGTTATAGCATGTATCAAAATTTCCTTCCTTTTTAAGGCTAATAATATTCCATTGTGTGCATGTAGTCCATTTTGTTTAACCGTTCATCCGTGGATGGGCTTTTGGGTTGTCCCCACCTTTGGGCTGCTGTGAATGCTGCTGCTATGAATACGGGTGTACAAATACAGGGTGGGACAAATACAGGGTGGGACAAAAGTAGGTTTACAGTTGTTCGTATGAAAAATAATACAATAATTAATAAATAATAATACAAGAATAAACTATGTTTCACGTCCTCGCAAATGTAAACTACTTTTGCCCCCCGGATATGTCTGAGTCCTTCTTTTGGGTATGTGCTCAGAACTGGAATTGCTAGGCAGTATGGTAAGTCTAGAGTTAACTTTCTGGAGGAACTGCCATATTATTTTCCATAGTGGCCATATCATTTATACACAGTACACAAGTCTCCAATTTCTTTATAACCTCACCAATGCTTGTTATTGTTTGTCTTCATCTATTTTTTACAATTGAGATATAATTGACATATAACATTATATTAGTTTTAGGTATACAACATATTTTGATGTTTGGATATATTGTGAAATCATCACACAATAGGTCTAGTTGACATCCACACGCATAAAGAGCTTCAAAACATTTTTTTCTTGTTATGAGAACTGTAAAGATCTACTCTCTTAGCAACTTTCAATTCTACACTATTGTTAACTATAATCCCATGCTGTACACAACCTCCCCGTGACTTATTCAAAGTTTAAAATACAGATTTTTCAGTTTGAGAAAACAATATAATTCAGAAGGATAACTGCTCTGTGTATGTTAAATATGTCTTTGCTGAAAACACAATAGTATACAGGCAACTAGAGGATTACAAACAAGTTGTGATACGAAGGGCTGGTAAATCCAATTGTTTAGAACTTGCTACATCTTCTTCCATTAAAACATTCATAAATCACAACTAACATTTACTGAACATTGACTGCTTTGTCCGGAGCTGCGCAAGTGCATACTCTTACTTAGGCTCAACAACTCTATGATGGGCGAACTCTTCTATTTCCCCTTTTACTCATGAGGAAACTGATACATAGAGAGATTAGGTAATTAGTCCAAGGTCATATAGCTAGAAAGTCGCAGGGTAGAATCTGAACCCCAGCAAGCTGACCATGTCTAAAATCTGCCTCAGTGTGAGCCTTAACCATCACGGATCTCATCTCTTGCTGATGGGCAGGCCCAGAGGCTAACCCCTATACCCTAGACTAGTAAAATTATTAATTACTACGTAATAATGGTAACCTTAGTTCTGGGATATAAATGTAAGCAGGAAAGGATATGGGAGAAATGCTGTTTTCTTTTTCTTTCCCCTGGTAAGGAAATCCAGGCATTGGTTGAAAGAATTTATAAGGCGCGATCTATCTGTTTGCTCTATATTTCTAAATAAAAGCTAAATCAGATTAACCTTAATATTTTCCATTTCCATCCCCTTTAAACTCTGAATATGATGGTGACCAAGGTACTCTTTCCCATATCCTTTCATTTCAGTGGCACTGGAAACTAATTTTTACAAGCTAAAAGGACTAACTCTTGGTTATATAGAACTATTGTTATTTTCAAAAAATTGGATTTTAAAAAATAACTAAATAATCACTTAGAAGTAGCAAACAAATGCTATTTATCTGGTAATTATCAGGCATTTTTGTCAGTTTCACAGACTTCCTAAAATTCAATGGTAGTCTTTTTTCTAGGAGAATAGCCAGGCTTTCTTCTCCTTCAGCAGATAAACTGTTTTATTTTAAAATTATGTACTCATAGCTACTGAAATTTTATACATAATCAAATAACAATGTATTTTCTGATTATATTAACCTCAGCCTTGCTTTCTGCTCAGTGCAGACAGAGCTAGACTATTTCTTCCAACAGTTATATGACTCTGTCTTACTATCTAAGGCTAATAAAAAAGGGTAATTTATACTTTAAAAGAAAAAAGGAAACAGAACAATCTTTTACGGAAAGTTCTTGGCTGAGGTTGAATACGTACCTAAGATTCTAAATAAAAGTCCACCCTTCACTTGGGTGGCACACTTCCTTCTCTTCCGTCAGCTGAGGCCTTTCTTCCAAAGTAAGGCTCCTTAACTTTTAAGTAAACACGATCCCCAAAGTGCCAGAATTCCTCCCTGACAAGGCAGGTGAGTCCACTTCTCACATCTAGCTAAGTGTAGTCAGGGCTGGCCTGCTAGGAGTGGTGGTGACAGGTTATAGTGAGTCACCCCTGCTCCAACCAATGCCCCTTGTGACCAATGGCCTGGACTTATGAGGTAATGGTCAGAATTCCGGCTCCAGGCTGCGGTTGAAGAACAAGTTTTGTGTAAGATGATGTTTTAATTGTTACTGGAATTCTACCCTAAAACTTGGCACCACCTTGCAATCAAATGTTTCTCAACATTTACAGACTATGACATACCCTCAAACTTGCTAAGTGAGATATGTCAAGGCAGGACTGAGGATACTGGGAGTTCTCGCCCTGGTAGTCATGCATGGACTTCTTAGGGTGTTGGTACCTAAATGGAGTCTTGAAGAATATGAATTTGGGGGAAGAAGCTCCATGGAGAAGAAAGAAAACATTCAAAGACACCAAAAGGGAACAGGAAAATGATACACTCTGAGAAGTGCCAGCAGTTTGCTACGGCTAAATGAGGGAGGTGGTGTGGAAGAGTGGCAAGGAATGAAGCTCGAGTGAGATTCTGGGTCTTGATGACAGAAGCATTTCTGTGCAATTTGAATATGTCAGACTACATGTGGTAGGTAGTGGAGAGTCACAAGAAGATCTGAAGCAAGAATGAAGTATGAACAGAAACACTCTGGCTTTAGTGACAGATTAAAAAGGGAACTGGGAAACCAATCAGGAGCTACTATAGTAATTCAGCTGAGAAATGATGAGAATTTGAACTAATCAGCAACGAGCACGGAGGCGTGTGGTCAGGGGTAAGGGACAGTAAAGATGAGACAATCATAGGGACTGACCTAGTAGAGGGTAGGGAAGAGGGCACAATTGAGGATGAATTTTAAGTTGCTAGTGTGGTAGCTGGTTACATTAAGGATTATGATGTAGGTTTAGTCTGGACAAGGGATGAAATGAAACCAATAGGAGATAAAGGGACTGGGTATCTAGCATTTGCTGATGCTTTCAGGGCTGCTAGTTTCACATTTATTACACTTTCTCTAGAGAGAGAAAAAAATCAGCATTTTAAAGGTCCCTTTAGCTTTCTGTTATTTCAGACGTCTACTATATATTTCCAGAAGCAAAAAAAGAGGCGATGGTCAATGTTAAATATACTTATAACATATATTACAATGAGTACCAAAATAGATTGGACCCACATGTTCAATTCCCATTAAAATACATGTCACAAATCCATCCGCTTTTAAAGTGTGTGTCAGAAAGAATTTCCAGGACAAATGTCAAATATCCTGGAGATGCTTTAGTTCAAATTACCAACCTATGTCACTGTACTTCAACTGTTTTGCTACTTGGATATATACTAAATATAGATACATGTTGGAAATCAGTTCTTGTAGACTTTAAAAAAATTCTTAAATTTCATATTTTGGAAGATAAAATATGAGAAAAAGACTGTTTTATGGTGTTTCACCTCCAAAATGCAGTTTCTTGAAAGGGTGAGAGCCAAGAAAAATCCCAAAGCAGTACACTGCTAGTAGACAGAAAGCCTGGATCACACAGCTAAATGCACTGGGGTGAACTAAACCCCCAAACTGGAAAGACTCTTTACAACCATCTAGACACTTACAAAATGACTAGTTCTGAATAATCCATTATGATAGATATTTATCCATGATGAGATCTGTGGCCACGTTTGCTTAGATGAAATAAATTATTGCCAAATTTCTGAGCCACAAATTTTCAGCATTTCTCAAAAAATATTTTATAAACCTCACAAAAACTGGTATCTAGTTCCATCATAACCATGAACACAGACCTAGAGTGACTTTACCCTATTTATTTCTCAATCTGGCTCAACTGAGATCTTGGTAGAGTAAATTTCCTATATGCTAAGGTCTTAAACAAAAACCTGGTAGATAACTTTTTAAAAAAGAAAGAAAAAGGTAGCATGGAGAGGAAAAAAACCCCACCTCATTTTTGCAGGCACTACTGCTGTGCAACAAAACTGCCAACAAATTCCATCTCTTTGGATATATAGATTCACCACTGACCTACTGTAACTGCCCTTAAATGTGCAAAGGCCCTTAAATGTAAAAATTAGCAGCATAGATTTTTCATTTTTGTAAAATAGCAGAGACACTATACACTATGTATAGGAAAAATATAGAGAGTTTGAAATCTCTTTATTATAACTGATAAATTCAATATCTCAGCAGTAATATTATAACATTAGAAGAATTACTTACTCAAGAAGATCTGGGTCTAATCCTTCCGATATCATTTTGTTTCTTATTGCCATCACCGGAACACCCTAAGCAAAGGACACAATAGAATAATGCAATTATTAAAAATGCCTCCTTCATAAAAACAGAGAAATAGACCAATGGAACAGAACTGAGCACCCAGAAATAAAGCCCAAGCATATATAGTCAACTAATATTTGACGAGGGAGCCAAGAATACTCCATAGAGAAAAGACAGTTTCTTTAATAAACGGTGCTGGGAAAATTGAATGTTCACATGTAAAAGAATGAAACTAGATTCCTATCTTTCACTACTCACAAAAATTAACTTGAAATGGATTAAAGACTGAAATGTAAGACCTGAAATTATGAAACTTCTAGAAGAAAACAGGAAGAAAGCTCCCTGACATTGATCTTGGTAATGATTTTATGAAAATCACACCTAAAGCACAAGCAACAAAATAAAAAATAAACAAGTGGGACTACATTAATCTTAAAAGGTTCTGCACAGCAAAAGAAGCCATCCACAAAGTGAAAAGACAACCTACAGAATGGAAAAAATATTTGCAAACCATATATCTGATAAAAGGTTAAGATCCAAAATATATAAGGAACTCATATAACTTAATAGCAAGAAAACAAATAATCCAACCTAAAAATGGGCAAAGGACCTGAACGGACATTTTTCCAAAGAATATGTACAAATGGCCAACAGGTACATGAAAAGATGCTCAACCTCACTATTCATTAGGGAAATATGAATTAAAACCACAGTGAGGTATCACCTCACACTTTTAGAATGGCCATCATCAAAGACAAATGCTGGAGGAGATGTGGAGAAAAGAGAGGCCTTGTGTATTGTTGGTGAAACTATAAATTGGTGCAGCCACTATGGAAAACAGTATGGCAGTTGCTCAAAAATTAAAAGGACAACTACCATATGATCCAGTAATTCCTTCTGGGAAAGGAAACGAAAACACTAACTTGAACAGATCTCTTCACCCCCAATGCTCATAGCAGTATTGTTTGTAACAGCCCAGTCATGTCCCCTGATGGATGGATGGATGGGTGGATGGATGGATAAAGACGTTGTAAGATATATATATATATATATAGATATCTATATATCTCTACATATAGACATATATTTATAAATATAGATAGAAATTTATAGATATAGGTATATTATTCAGCCATAAAAGATAAGAAAAACCTTACCATTTGCGACAATATGGATAGATCTTGAAGGCATTATGCTAAGGGAAATAAGTCAGACAGAATAAGACAAATACTGTATAATTTAACTTATATGTGGAATTTAAACAAAAGAAAACCACACCAAACTCAGAAAAAGAGATCAGATTTGTGGTTATCAGGGTGGTGGTGGGGGCAGTGGGAATTGGAGGAAAGTGGCCCAAAACTACAGACTTCCAGTTACAAAATACGTAAGTACTAGAGATGTGATGTACAACATGATGACTATAGTTAACACTGCTTTTGATATATAGGAAAGTCAAGAGAGTAGATTCTCACTACAAGGAGAAATTTTTTTGTTTTCTATTGTATTTATATGAGCTGATGAATGTTAAGTAAACTTACCGTGGTAATCATTTCACAATATGTGTAGATCAAACCATCACACTGTACATCTTAAACTTATACAGTGATACAGCACTAGGGCAACTCAGTGCTCTATGCTGAGAAAATGAAGATGTAGTCAGCCCCTGCCCTCAGGGAGTACAGTCTAATAGATGAGTTAAACATAAGATCACAATACAACCATGAAATTTATAACACAGGCCTGCAAAATGGGCAATGGCAGGCCTGGCAAAGGATTCACAGAGGTGAGTCTTCAAGATGGGATAGGAATTTATTTAACATGAAAAACACCAAGACTAGAAATATATACAGATCTTTAAATAATCTACCATACACAAGCTTTCTCAAATATATTTTTAAGAACAAATATATACTTGTCCAGATATTTCCCTCCTTCAAAATGCTGATTTTATTTTACATTTCACCCAATAGAATCTGTGTTTAGGCCCAAGCAAGCATACGCTAAATATGAGTCAAATGGATTAGAAACTCAATATGAAGAGTCTTCAACGTTAATGACCTTATATCTCACATAGAATGTTATAGATCTTGCCAAATTAAGTTCAGGTCATTGTTAACTATAATCCTCACTTAAAAAATAATGTTAAAATTTTAATTCTTATTTACTCTTTTAAAAAATGTGCAGAGAAGATGCCGTCTACAACAATAATCTCCTATTTTGGGCACGGAGGAGGAAAATGTCCAAGTTCCCTACAGCTTGCTAGGAGAAAGGAGGGTGGGAAAGCAACAGCTCTCCTTCAGACGCACAGCTTTCCAGGAGCACTCTCTCCTGAGGGGCGGCACAGGCGAGGCTCACTTACAGGCCCATTCACACATTTATCTCCATAACCGTTATGTTTAATTCTATAAGTTAGTGACATTTAATCTGTTAAGACGTGGATAACAATGGACACCTAAATACATCTTAAGTATCAGATGGATGAAAAGTAATAGCACCACCATAAAATTCTCTACAAAAACATACTCCTGAAAGTAATACTGTTCCATGGGGACAATCTTTAAGGTATTCTGAAAAATGACAAAGAAGGCAGAAGATAAAACTCTGAGCTTCTTGTTAGCTTATGAAATTTAAGGATAAATGAAAGGAGGGGAAAAAAAAGCAGTTGCTTAGGGGCATTCCACATTAACAGACTATTTAAAAAAAAATTTAAAAAAAAAATGTTTTTGTTGATTTGAGAGAAGAATAGAGAGATAGAAACACCGATGACGGGCTGCCTCCTGCACGCCCCCTACTGGAGATCAAGCCCACAACCTGGGCATGTGCCCTGACTGGAATTAAACTGGTGACCTCTTGGTTCGTGGGTTGATGCTAAACCATAGAGCCACACCAGCCAGGCTATGTTAACAGACTCTTACATTTGGGGTAAAGTAAGCATGAGACTAAAACTCACATCACTTTTAAAATATGTTACCTGAAACTAAGTCTTGAGAGAAAGATTTTAAAATAAAATGTACTTAATAATCACTTGAAAACAAAATTTATATAATAGTGGAGGAGAAAGCTGACTACTTAAATGACAAGACTGGGAATTTTGTTTGATAATTAAATGCCATTCAACTATTTAGTATAACAGAGAAAGTTAAAAGTTTGGAATAGTTCATAAAAAAAAACTGAAGTGCTAAGGAGAAATGGAAAAAAGAGCAAAGTTAACATCATACTTCTTTAAAAAGACCTCTCAGTTTCTCTTAACTATGGTTTCATGGTATAAGGTCTTTCTACAAACTCAGCTATGTGATTACTTATACTTTAGCATAATCCACAAGACAGCATTGGTAAGATTATACAAAATTACAAAGTTGAGAAAACAGAAGGGAGAAGAAATGAGGTTAAAAAAAACTACCCATTTCCTAAAATATAGCAAAGAAAGTGTGTGTAGGGTGTGGTGAGGGGAGGTGGTAATTGGTAAGGGAGGGAGGGATAAGGAACAGGGAAGTGGTGTAACTAACCAAGCTCCCTATTTTAACAGTTTCATGGGGTTGGTTATAGTATAATAATAATGGAATCTGAATCTATAAGCTCCTATTTTACCTTTAGTCTCTCAAAGCTGATTCCAGCAAAAGAATACAAATATTACCAAAATTTGGTGAGTCTTCAGTCTTTTCTGTATATGGATATAGATAAAAGAAAATACCTATAACTTTTAATATCTTACCCTACTAGAGACTTTACTATTATCATCAGCTTACTACAAGTATCATAAAGCTTGATACAAAAATACTTTGGCCTGTTACAAAGGATACATTCCAAAGGGATTTGCTGCTGTTTCTAGAGACGTTGCTTAGAAAATCTGTTGTTCTGCTGTATCCATCCTTAGAGGTTAAGGAACAGTCTGGTTTGTTAACATCAAAAAGAAGTGTCCAATTTCTGATCTCCAAGAGACAAGGCTTCTGGTGGTCTAAGGAGGACAGGACAGACCTCAAAACTAAAGTCTACTCAACTGTGGGGTTATTTTTGGCAGGTGATAATGGCAGTTTGTCCAACATAAGTAATGAAGAGGAGAGAAGGCAGCCATAAGTCTGATGTTCCAAAAAATCACGTCTGTATTTGCGTCACTGGAGAAAGTGTGCAAAGAAGCCACAATAATGAAAGTATGATGGCAACGCTATCGTTTAATAGTAGTTTCTTATATCACAAAAACTGTTTGGAGATAATAGGACTGCCAGTATTTACATTTATTTGTTATTGTGTTAATGAAATCCAAGCTACTGAATTCCTTTAGAAACAATGTGGAAATTTTCCTAAAGTTTTAGATTAGAAGGGGGAAAAACCCTCTTATTCACTCCAAAGAGTGATTTTCATTTTTTAAAATAACAAAAAATGTTCCTTATATTTGAGTTTTCCTCTGTTTATGAGCTTGAATCACAATTCAGTTACGAAAGGCGGAAAATACGAAGCTTGTGAAGTTTTTCCTACTTGGTCAATAAAGGAAAGAGCTACTGGGATGACAGGTGGACAGTGCTGTTTTTATTTTCAGGGAGAGGGAATAGGTAGGAGTTGAAAAGATACTATGGGCTCGAAAAAGGCAGGCAGTCCTCAAATTAGGCTCCTTCTCCTTAAATTTTAACTTAGTGACATGGGCTCAATCATTTCTTTCTCTTCTGATTTTCAGTAATACGCTCTTTAAAATATCTATACTGCATTTTATGAAATATATTAGTAGGGTGTTATACTTAGAATAAAATTTTCAGATGAAATATTATATAATGGACAATAAATGTTTACTGAATAAACCATAACACAAAAGCAAGCGTATGCTTAATAATCTTTTCTCCTAGCAGCTTTCTGTGAAGGGACACAAGATTAATTTAAATAAATCTCAATCTGTAGAATGAATATGGCTATCTTAAAAAAAAAAAAAAAGGAAGCTTTATTTCTAATGACTGCAGATTTTGAAAATGACAGACTTTAAAATGATCTCTGCTATCGTTGCCTCCAAGGGTCATTAATT